CCACGACACTTACAATGAAGAAACAAACAGGTTCATAAAAAACACACACATTTTATTACAATACAATTTACATACAGTCTGAATTTACCGTGAAAGAATGTGAAGAATCAGTGGACGAAGGCATTTATCATTATCTTCGTTTTGGTATGTTTTCGATCGTACGTAAACTCTCGACGCAAAGCAATTTTCCACCGTGAGGTTTTTCAGCATGATTTGATCTGAAACATTCTTCCTTTGATCTAACAGGTCATGTCTTTCATTAACCAATCAAAATGATGTGTCGTAATGATGAAATTTTCCGATTATTGACGATGATTTTTTAACGCAATGCGGAAGTGAATTACCGCAATGTTAAAATGATGATTTTTCCCCTAAAAACTGGCGATTCGTAATTTCCGAAATATAAACGACGGTTAATAGTAACCGTGGGTAAACTTAGTGTGGAGGAAGAATTTAAACACCGTTCACGGTCGCTAGCATGTCACATCGTTCAAACCCTAGGCCTTTCATGATAGTCTCAAAGTAAACCATGCCCAATAACCAGGTACACGACTTAACGATCACATTTTTGGCTTTTCAAAAACTACTACTATATGGATTACTCCTGTATTGCAACATCAGGGTTCATCCTGGGTAAATGACAGAATAGAAAGGATGCGAACCACGTTGTGTACGTTCGCCATGCACTCTGAAATTAATGCTAGTTGTCTCATAAAAGCACGAACCAGACTATCATGCCAATCACGATTATTATGAAATGAAACGCACTTTTTACATGCATATTTTAAAGAATATCGTCAACGCCCAGTAAAAACACTCTCAGCTTATAATCGTGAATGCCTTCAACTTGATAAATACCTAGTAAAAATAGAGGAATGGGCTTCATACTCGGGAGGAGCTTTTTTCTACACAAAAAATAACAAAAACCTATTTTCCGTTCGTTGACTGTGCTTGTATTAACAGTTGATTTTCTTGTAGTCTGTCGTGATGCTTATAAACATTCTTTAAAAATAATTGTTAATTGCGTAAAACAAGGGGTGAACGCGAAATAGCTGTGACAGCAAAATAGGTAATTTCTGCCTTCAGGGCAGCGCGTTCACCGCTGATTTACATTTATTTTTCAAGATTTTTTTTTCAGAATCATAACAGTCAGTCAGTCTATAAAAATGTATATTAATTAAAGCAGAAACTGTTACAGTAGTTCTCTTTTTGACTCCTGTGTGCGAAGCTACCCTGACTGTATGTACATGTACTAGTATGTATTTCACTTTTTTTGTTCCACAGTTATCTCAAGAACCACTAATCAGATTTTGATGAAACTTGGTGCATATATGCTCTGGGCCAATGCACAGATTTGATTTGGTTTTGGGTAAAATCCATGAATATTAATTACCTAATGTGCATGATAATTAGCTGATTTTTAGCTGTTCCATGACTGTTCCACTGATATATGAAGAACCACTCATTGGGTTTTGATGAAACTTGGCACATAGATGCTCTGAACTAGTGTGCAGATTTGATTAGTTTTAGGTAAAAATCCGGGCATATTAATTTCCTAGTTTGCATAATGTTTAATCAAGTACTAATCATCACATTTCAATAAAACTTGATACATAGATGTCATAGGACACTGCACAGACCTGATAGTTTTTAGGGTAATATCAGTACATATTAATAACCTAATTTGCAATGAAAGTTTGTCCATAGTTACTTAAGGACTGTGCAGACCCCTGATTAGTTTTGGGGTAATATTTGTGCATATTAATTACCTTATTAGCATAATTAGTTAATTTTTAGCTTTTCGCCTAATATCTCAAGTACTAAATCATCATATTTCAATGAGCCTTGCTACATAGATCCTCTAGGACTATGCAGAGACCTGATTAGTTTTAGGGTAAATAATTGTGCATATTAATTGTCTAATTTCCATGAATGTTTATTTTTCCAATTAGTTTTTGGTAAATATTTATGCTTATTAATCACCTAATTAACAAAATTAATTAACACTGATATCTCAATTACTGATCATCACATTTGAATAAAATTTGGTACATGAATGCTATAGGACAATACAGGCCCAGCCCTATTTTTTGGCAATTTACCATGTTCAGGATCCTGGGCTCTTACCCGGATAAATACGATAATAGTATACTCAGAAATACCGTTAAAACAAATATAGGCTTCCTGCTAGCTTTGAATATTTTTAATAACTGAGAAAAACATGTTTGCATCAGCAAAGTTAACATGTATCATAAAAACCTGCCTTCAGACCAATTCACCTGCAATAAATGGACATACAATTGGACATGTATCAAACTGTCATTAACCTATATGTAACTTGACACAGCTCTGCTGTTCATAGGAAACCCATTTTTAAGAAAAAAAAATTATTTCTATTAGTAGTACACTGGCTTTATGTAAATTGAAGAGATGTTTCTATTGTTGAAATATTGTCATATTGCCACATATCTGATTCTGTTGGATGATTGAAGATGAACTAACATTAATATTGATGTGTTCTTTTTGAATTTAGAGACTACTTTACCTGTTGCTACCACAGTCTCCAACAAAGGTTTAATACTATGAAATACTTTATTTTAGCTGGAATTAATTTTCGCTGAAAAAACTTTTCGGGCATTGCAGGAAAAAAAGTATATTCGCTGGATTTTATTTTCACTGAATCATTACCTCAGCGAAAATAATGAAAATTAATTCCAAGCAAAAATAAAGTATTTCACAGTAGTTAACATCACTGCATGATGAAATTTATTGTAGTGAAGACAACAAATACTTTTAATAGTTGATAAACAACACAATGTGTTAATTAGCATACTCACAAATGACATAACTCAAAATTTAAACTTCAACAGTTGTACTGACAATACAACTTAGATATGCCATTATTATTAATCAAAATCATTTAATAAATTTTGTTTTAAAATAGACTCAATTCAGTTGGTTAGCAGAAGAAAGAAAAAACAAGAACGTAACGAACTGATTATGATGCGAAGCTTTGTGGACTGTTCTGATCTTTTTATATGTGCAAATAATGACTGTATTCAATCATCCTTTGAGTGTGATGGTAAAGAAGATTGCACAGATGGCTCCGATGAGTCTCATTGTTTGGCTAGGGGTATGTTTTACATGTTTTTTTAAACCTTGAATAACGAACGCTAATTATTTTTCCCACATTGTTACAGATTCTGATCAAAATTGTCCAATCAAAAAATGAAATAATGCAAACTTATCTTTTGCAAAAAAAAGAATGATGACTGGCTGGCTGACTGACTGTGGGCCATTGTTTTCTGTGTAAAATAATGCATGAGCATGGTAATTGGAGATAAGTCGTGGCAGGAAGTGTCGGAAAGAAAATGCAAGTTCTGCCATAGTGAAGTTAAGGATGAAATTAATTAATTTCACTGCAATAACTATTATGAGAAGGGTGTTCAATTTTGCTTCAAGCAGTAGCAGTTTTAGTAAAAATGCTACTGTAATTTTCTTGCCTTATCTTCTGACCAGAAATCAGTTAACATTTGATATATGTGCAAAATTTGATATACATGTATGTGCTAAAAATGTGTAGCGAGATGCTACATGTATATAGAATTTATATTTTGATGTTAGTATTTTCACTTATAATTGTTGTTGGGCTGGGCTTCAGGAAACTGAGCATGTCAATATAATAAATGATACATATTTATGTTGTCTTTTCATACATTCTGTCAAAAATCTTGAAAATGTTTGATTGCAGAAAAAAGTCACTGTGGGGTACATGACTTCCATTGTGCTGATGGTGGTTGTGTTGATGCTAAGGTGGAGTGTGACTGGTACTCTGACTGCGCTGATGAATCTGATGAGCATGACAACTGCCTTTATGAAGGTAATGTGCATTCACAAATGTGTCCCCCTGGTCGATGACATCATTACCCAGAATGCATTTTGTGTATGCTGGCTTGTAGTGAAGCAGCGCAATTTCTGTAGATGCACATGTACGCTGTGTTTACTTCATGATTAATACCTAGATTTCAATTAACCTATAATTACCAGGCATTTTGAAGACTTGCTTGTTTGTTTAAAAACTTAATTCTTGCTAATCTTTCAACAGTAAAGAAACATCAAAATCGTATTCTAAAAATATAAATAATTCTGATTATCAAAAAGAACAATTTTGGGAGCAGAATCTGGTCATAATTTTTTTTTATGTTCATGCACCTGTGCTATATATTAACTTAATTGCATCTTTAGATCTCCTCACTGGGTGACTGCCTGTGCAACACATACATCAACTGTTACTCCTGTATGTGTGTAGCACACAATGGGAGTCTTTGAGATTAGTTTGAACATAAATTGATCAGACATGTTTGAGATATAGATGCACACACCCATGGCGGTGAAACTATGTTAAAGTTTTTGGACATCACCATCTTAATACGTTTGCACTTGAATGTTATATTCATAGTAAAAAATTACACTTATGGTGAATGGGTTCTTACTGATAATTGGTACATGGTATATGTTACCAGAAGTACATTACTTGGGGTTTGCAACGCACATAGTACTGTATGGTGACATCATGCCAAGATCCTATTCCAGTCTCATCTCCTAGATAGCGAGACTGATGCTAGTACTAGTACCTTCTGACATGATATAGGCGGTTTGTAATAAAACAATAAAACGTGTATTACCACATTCATAGTGAAAAAATGTAATACATCGAAAATGTACAGAAAATATAGTTATCGTAATCCGTCATATCGTGAGCAGCTATTTTGATCCACCTGGACATCCCAGTATCCTAGTTACCTCAGGCATGCGCATTCGCATTTTTCTGAGTTGGACCGCTTATGTGAGCGCGAGATTGTAACGGGATCTTGGTATCAAGTAATGTACCTCTGATGTTACTAAACTTATCCATATCTATATTTATATTGTAGGATTTGAGTGTGATGAAGGCAACACTGTTATCCCCTATACATGGGCCTGTGATGAAGAGGTGGATTGTGATGATGAACGTGATGAAAATTCCTTACTGTGTTGTAAGCAGATATATATCACTATTGGGACTATCTTACACATGCCTCGGCTAATTACAATGAACTTTACAAATACTTCTTACATCTTGGGACATGTTATATGCACATTCATTTTAAAATCTGATTAAAGATGGCCAAATGGTGATCATTATTATCCAGCTTTTTGGAACTGGGTCTCTGTCGTGTATTGATGAATTTTGTTCAAAGATGATACATACATATACATTGTAACTAATGCACATTTTGTTTTAATGAATGCCATTTCAGAGCCAAATCTCTGACATGCATTAATTGACAAATCATATTTAAACTTTCTATACACACAATGTCACACATATTCACATTCATTCTTTAAGATGGCCAAATGGCGATCATGTTAATGGTAAACAACATTTCTGCCATTCTGAGCCGAATCTTGGTTATACATGAACAGTGCTAAAATAAATCATAATTCAGGATTTCTACCATTCTGGAAATGAATCCTGGTCATGCATTTATAGATTAAATTCAATCCTTGTGTGGATTTTGATGAATCTCGTAGTGATAGACAAGATTTCCCACAAGTTCCCTCTATGCATCACAATTCATAAAATAGTTCTGTTTATAGTCTGTACTTTCCATCAGAAGTTTAAGACAAGAATAGCAAAAGTTTTTAAGTACAAACAAAATATTTATCAGTACTCAAATTTTGATGGCTCCAAAATTTAGGGTTCAATTCCAGAAATATTGAAGAATATAAGGAAAAAATGCAGACAAATTTGTGTAAGGAAGTCAGGTGGTGAAAAGGTTAGCATAGTCCAATGGAATTTAAACTTCATACATACATAATGTACACACACAAACGCACACTTTTGTTTTGCACAGTACAGATCAGATCAGAATGTTTGTCATTCATCAATCAATTCATTATAATTTGTTTTTCTCGCAGATGGTATATGTGATGGTCACATTTGCGATAATGATACTGTGTGTGTTGAGAGAGACAATGTATGCGACGGCTATACGTTCCATTGTGAAGATCACTCTGATGAAGACACGAGTTTATGTCCGCAATGTGAGTGCACATGTTAATTATTGTTAATCATTCCTGAGTGGTTGATGTCCTCTCTGCACCATCCAGCCTTATGCAAGAAATAGATTGTAAACAGAACAAAGGTCTTAGCATTGCCGTGGTGTAAAAACTCTACAATGACAAATTTAAAAACATGTAAAAATGTGTATTGTCAGTGTATTGTTTGGTGATTGAGTTCCAGTTAATTGGAAACTGGAATTTGTGTCATTCATTAATGTGATCTTTTTACTATACATTTAATTAAATGCAAGAAATACATAAAATGTGATTATTTTCTAAATCACACTTGGAGCCATACTTTTTTCAATGCATTTTATTAATTCCTGTAATGTAACTAACATATTTATGCAACATTATGTGTGGGTCTAAATATTATGTTTTTTCTATACTTTTGTATAGGGAAGCAATTGAAATCTAAACTCGCTCACTATTATATAGCACTCAATCCCCTCTCATATGTGTGTATATTTCTACTAGAATACATACATGTATGTACTGAGTAATTGACTTTGAATGATTACTGTAAAACGTGTCTTTTAGCTATCATGTTAATTTCGCTAATTCAAGATTTAGCTAATTTAGCAGTCTATTTTCTCACAGGGAGATAGTCAAAACTTTAGCTAAATTAAGATTCTGTTAATTCATGCCAAGAGTCAAATCCACTAAAATTGCACAGTATATTTTTCACTCCTCTCCAATACACTATACAACCTTAAATCTATTAGGTCAGATGAAAAAGTATGTTCAGAAAAGGCTGAGTGAATGCAAATCTACTTGCAATAGGTGGCTGATTGGCCACCCAACCCTAACACCTACATTGTAACAGTTGGACCAATCAGAGAGCAGCTTGCTTGAATTTGTATATGCTTAGACTCAACTGAAAAAAGCCTGAACATTACATTCATTGTGTAATTGACTATTGACCATTTTGTTGAATTCTATAAATTATTAACTTAAAGGCAATTTTTTTGCATTTTTAATTTGTAGTATATTTAAACAAAATTTCTTTTTTCTTTTATGCAGTTCAAGAATGTTTTTACTGCAATGACTTCTGCATTCAGTGGGAATGGGTGTGTGATAATTTAGCAGACTGTGAA